TCCCACTCTTACACGAGTAAACCTGGGTGATATTACACACACACACACACACACACACACACACACAAATGGTCTTGGAGAAGACTGGTCTAAGATATCAAAGGCTAGATTTGTTTCTCAGAAGTTGATAGCCAGCAAGATAGCATTGTTGCAAAATCACATGGAGATTAAAAAAAGAATGTAAAATTCAAGGAAATTCAAGCCCTGATTTCTTTTTTCTGTTTTTTTAATAATAGTTTCCCATGGGCCAGCAATTGGTGTAAAAGTTAAGGTGACTGGACGCCACATGGCCCACTTCATGGTTTGAGTCCTGAAACCGGGTAGCTTTAAAATCAATGCCGGGATGGGGCCAGCAGGTAGCATGGTGGTTGAGAATGTTGGACTCCCACATGGTCGACCATGGTTTGAATCCTGGACCTGGTGGCTTGCTTTCTCACTTTCCCGCTTTCTCTCTCAAATTAAAAAAAAATGATAATAACAAATAAAATTAAATTAAAAATAATTCTTTAAAAAAGAAAGAAAGAAAATCAACGCCAGGTACATGTGTGTGCATTCTCAGTCACAAGAGGAGAGGAGAGGAGAAAGGATTATGGAGTAGTTATCCCTCCTGGGGGGTGATTTCTCATTTTTCCTCTCTCTTTCTCTTTATCTCTCTCTCTCTCTAGCAAGCGCAGGTGCTCTATAGCAAACTGAAAATAATAATAATAATAATAATAAGCTCCCTAAACTTTCTGGGAAAATGGAGGTGAAGGAGGCTTGAGGAATCAGAGGAAGTACCTAGCTGGGCAGGCAGCCCCTCCCCCAGAGGCACCTGGATTCCTGCCAAGAAATGACCAGGTGTGGAGCCAATGAGAGACCTCAGCCTCCCTAGTAGGTGGGAAATGCAAATTAAGACAACAAGGATATAGTCCTTTTCACTAGTCACATTGACAAAAATAAAAACCGATAAGATCAAATGTCGGTTAGGATGTGGGAAGGCTGCTACTCTCTTGCGCTGTTGGTGGGAGGGTGGGTTGCCCAGCCAGCCTGGAAGGCAGTTTAGAGGTGTCTTCATTCGAACGCATTTTCACCAGGCAACCTCAGTGTTCTCCTCAGCCTCTTCTCTAGGAAAGAATCACACACATCCCAAAACGTCCACATGGGCTCTACATTGTAATAGCAAACAAGCAAATTAAAAATAATAATAGTTAAAATGAAAAAACTAAAAAAAACAACGGTGGGAATGTGATCACCCAGCCATCTAAGACATAAACTACAGAACGCCCCACTTGGCAGTATTTTAAAAGAAAAGCAGGGAACCAGCAGTTAGCGTAATGGCTATGTTGCTGGACTCCCACGTAGGCGACCACGGTTCACGTCCTGGATCCAGTGGCTTAAAACTCACGCCGGGTGCGTGTGCGTGCGTGCCCAAGATTCCGAGAGGAGAATGGAGGAGAAGGGATTGCGGCGTGACCATCCCCCCTGGGGGGTGATTTCTCGCTTTCTGTCTCTATGTCTCTCTCTGTCTGTCTGATGAGCGCACGCGCCCTATAGCAAAAACCTCTCCAAAAAAAAAATGTTCAAAAGGCGGCTTTGTCTGTAGTGTGCATAGTTTTTGCTTTGAGGGTGTATTCATATATTCCTTGTTTAATGACATATATATTATTCAGAGGGTGCTTCATTTTATAAAAAGCAAATGAGCTTCAATTACCAAACACCAGCAAAGCCCCCAGGTCCCTGTAGCTTCCCCAGACCCCGACACCCAAACTCTTACCTTCCCCAGGTGAGGGCTTAGCTGGGTGGGAGGTCTCCAGCCAGGTTCTCTGGGCATAACACTACCGACTGACCCTTCTGTGGGGACAGGGCATGTCTCACATCGCCCCCCGCTAGTCTGTTCTCCACAGGGCTCTGCCAGGACATGAAGTCGGTGTGGGTCTTTCTCCTGCAGATCTCAGGCTGGGTGTAGACGTAGACCACATCTCATTAAACTCTCCCCACCCAGTGCCTAGGTTGGTGCTGGCCACTAGTAATATTTACTCCTAAAATGATCCTGCTC